TATATTCTACATTTAGAAAGACTCACATGTACCCCCATAGGATAAACCATAGACGTGATCCTACCAATAGCTCTCCCTCCACCCATCCTTCCCCCATCCCCTCCCCTCCCTCTCCCTTTTCCCTGTATTCTTGGGCTAAAATTGGGTTATGGCTTTCCTATGAAAGCTATAAATTAGTTTCATAATAGGGTTGAGTACATTGGATACTTTTTCTTCCATTCTTGAGATACTTTGCTAATAAGAATATTCTCCAGCTCCATCCATGTAAACATGAAGGATGTAAAGTCTCCATCTTTCTTTATGGCTGCATAGTATTCCATAGTGTACATATACCACAATTTATTGATCCATTCATGGGTTGATGGGCCCTTGGGCTTCTTCCATGACCTAGCAATTTTGAATTGGGCTGCAATGAACATTCTGGTACAAGTATCTTTATTAGTGTGATTTTTGGTCTTTTCAATATATACCTAGTAGAGGAATTATAGAATCAAATGGCAAGTCTATTTTTAGTTCTCTAAGTTTTCTTAGAGACAGAGTCTCACTTTGTCACCCTCAGTAGAGTGCTGTAGCGTCACACAGCTCACAGCAACCTGCAGCTCTTGGGCTTAGCCGGTTCTCTTGCCTCAGCCTTCCGAGTAGCTGGGATGGGATACAAGCTCGTGTTTCTTTCTTTCTTTTTTTTTTTTTTTTGGCTGGGGCTGAGTTTGAACCTGCCATCTCTGGGATATGGGGTCCGTGCCCTACCCTTTTGAGCCACAGGCACCGCCCATAGCTTGTTTCTTTTTGATTTGGCTACATGCTCCTGGCTAAAACCATTTTTAATGTCTAAAGTGAAGCCTCCTGGCTCGGCACCCATAGCATAGTGGTTATGGTGCCAGCCACATACACCGAGGCTGGCAGGTTTGAACCCAGCCTGCGCCAGCTGAACAACAATGACAACTACAACCAAACATGACTAGGCGTTGGGGCTGGCACCTGTAGTCCCAGCTACTTGGGAGGCTGAGGCAAGAGAATTGCCTAATTCCAACAATTTGAGGTTGCTATGAGCTGTGACACCATGGCACTCTACCAAGGGCAACAAAGTGAGACACTGTCTAAATAAATAAATAAATAAATACAATAAAGTGAAGCCTCCTGGGCCAAGCGTGGTGGCTTGGAGGGAGACCTCATCTCTAAAAATAGCGGGGCGTTGTGGTGGGCGCCTGTAATCCCAGCTACTCGGAAGGCTGAGGCAAGAGACTTGCATGAGTTGGAGGTTGCTGTGAGTTTTGACGCCACGGCAGTCTACCAAGGGTGACAAGCGAGACTCTGTCTCTAAATAAATAAATAAGTAAAGAGAAGCCTCCTTATCCCATCCACACATTTCTATGCCCATTGCCAACAGTAAAACCCTGCTGCTCTTTTCAAGTATACACAAGTAAACAATACTTGTTAATTCTTACTTCTTTCCTCAAAAAAATCAGGTAATAGCTTGTTTTACTATTTTTTTTTTTTGAGACGGAGCCTCAAGCTATCCCCCTGGGTAGAGTACCATGGCATCACGCTCACAGCAACCTCCAACTCCTGGGCTCAAGCGAGTCTCCTGCCTCAGCCTCCCAAGTAGCTGGGACCACAGGCACCCACCACAACGCCTGGCCATTTTTTGGTTGCAGCCATCATTGTTGTTTGGCGGGCCCGGGCTGGGGATTCGAACCCGCCACCTTGGGTGTATGTGGCTGGCGCCTTAGCCGCTTGAGCCACAGGCGCCAAGCCTATTTTTTTTTTTACTTAATTTTTTTTTACTTAATTTTCTGGGAGTTATCGTTCCATGCTCAAACTTACAGAGCTTCCATGGTCTTGCATAGCTGAATGATATTATGGTATTGTGCCCAGGAAGTTTGGAAAACAAGAATGAGTGTGAGTGGAAGAAGTGAGAAAAGAGGTGAGAAAAGAGGGCCTGGTACTCCTTGAGAAAGACTTTGTCTTTTTGTCCTGAGTTAGATGGGAGCCATGGAGGGTTCTGAGCAGAGGAGGGACTTGACCTGAATCTGGTGCTCACAAGCGCCATCTGGCCGCTGTTGGGGGAATAGACTGTGGGGGGCGAGGGCAGGAGCTGGGAGACCAGGGAGGAGGAGACTGTCCTGCTCCCGGAGCGGCTGAGAGGCGGGCGGATTGAAGGCGGTAGGTTCTGAAGAGGACCGGACTCGCTGTCGTACAAGATTGAGGGTGGAGGGGGGGCAGTGAGCCTTACTAACTGACAGAACAGAGCTGCTGTTACTGGGACTAGAGGGACTACGGAAGGACATGTTGCGGGACTGTCAGTAGTTTAGACCGAGCGGGGCTGAGAGGAAGGCACCCGCGCTCCCTCAGGCGTCAGGGAAGCCGCTGTTCTGCGCACTGCTGCTGAGCGGTCCCGGAGCTGCCGCCAGAGGGCGAGGGCGTGCCGCGGCTCCGGGGAGGAAAGGGCGCGGGAAGGGCCCGCTGGGCAACTTCTCAGGGCCTCACCTGGGTGTGAGATGGGGGTTGCCAAGGTGCCAGGACCCGGCCAGGACGCCCCCCACCAGGCGGCGCCTCGGGGGCCCCAAAGCCAGAGACGTGGCTCCCACCCACTTTATGTACTTTTAGCCCTCCAACCTCCATGCCCTGCCCTCAAACCAGCTTGTTCCCACCGCCTTCACCGCCATCTCAGGTGCCTGCAAATATGTCACTTTCTCTGAAAAACCCTCTATGACCACCCCGGAGACGGGAGCCCCCGCCCCGACCACTCTATGGGCCATCCCATTTATATATATATAATTTTTTTATATATATATA